GTGTCCTGTGTGAAATCAAGGAGAAAACCGGTATGTGAGTCCCCCCCCTGATTCCTCACCTCTGGGGACTGAACCCTGTTCTTTCTAGGACTCAGGCCAAGAGTTTGACATCTTGGGGCCCTGAGGACATTAGGGGTTAGGGAAGTTGCTAAGGGGAATTGGGGAGGGAACCGAAGCCTGGAAACTTGGGTCTCCAGGAGACAGCAGGAGGGCTGAGCGCTGGCTGTGGGTTCCCTGAGTCCCTAAGTTCACTTGCCTGCACGCTAGGCCTCAGCATTCGAAGCTCCCAAGAGGAGGAGCCGGTGGACCCACAGCTGATGCGCCTGGACAACATGCTTCTGGCGGAGGGTGTGGCTGGGCCTGAGAAGGGGGGGGGCTCAGCGGCAGCAGCTGCAGCCGCGGCAGCCTCCGGGGGCGGCGTGTCCCCTGACAACTCCATCGAACACTCCGACTATCGCAGCAAACTTGCCCAGATCCGCCACATCTACCACTCGGAGCTGGAGAAGTATGAGCAGGTGAGGAGACCAGGCTGGAGTGGGTGAGAGGAGAGGCTCTTGTGGGGCATCCCCAGGCCAGAGGGCCCCCCCTCACAGCCCACCGGCCCCCGCTGCAGGCATGTAACGAGTTCACGACCCACGTCATGAACCTGCTGAGGGAGCAGAGCCGCACTCGGCCTGTGGCACCCAAGGAGATGGAGCGCATGGTGAGCATCATCCATCGAAAGTTCAGCGCCATCCAGATGCAGCTCAAGCAGAGCACCTGTGAGGCTGTCATGATCCTGCGTTCCCGTTTCTTGGATGCGAGGTGGGGCTCCTTCCCGCTCTTCTCCAAGCCTCTGGGCCACCACGTTACTCAATATGGTACTCCGTGGCAGGGGCACCCTCTAGAGTGGTGCAAGATGGAGGCCCTGCCAGGGTAGCCGGCCTCCTCACCACCAATCTCCCTCCTCTGCAGACGAAAACGCCGCAACTTCAGCAAACAGGCTACTGAGGTCCTCAACGAGTATTTCTACTCCCACCTGAGTAATCCATATCCTAGCGAGGAGGCTAAGGAGGAGCTTGCCAAGAAGTGTGGAATCACGGTCTCTCAGGTATTGGGGAGGCTTGGGGTGGGGGAGCAGTTTTCAGGTTAAAAGCTCTCTGATTCTACTGACCAAGGGGCTTACAGGGAGAAAGGTCTGCACCCGACCCTCCTTTCTGCTCCACACCCCACAGGTCTCCAACTGGTTTGGCAACAAGCGGATTCGCTATAAGAAAAATATTGGAAAGTTCCAAGAGGAGGCAAACATCTATGCCGTCAAGACCGCCGTGTCAGTCACCCAGGGGGGCCACAGCCGCACCAGCTCCCCGACACCCCCTTCCTCTGCAGGTGGACCCCCGCTGCCGTCCTGGCTGGCTATCTTGCACACTTCCTGCCTTTGTCCGCACTTCCTATCTAGGCAGGATCACAGCAGAGAGTGGGCCTTTTGGGGTGAGAGGGACCTAGCTGAGATGGGGTGGAGATGTCAGGGGACAAAGGGCACCCCAGCGAAGTTACTTCTGCCTGTCTTCCAGCAAGTGGCCAGGAAGGGAGGGGGAGGCCCAGACACGGCCTGCTCCTCTGAGTGTTGCAATGTCTTAGGGATAAGTTGCTTACAGTGGCATATCCCCGAACTAGTTCAGAGGGCTTTTTGGAAACAGAACTGTGGTGAGTTTCCTGTTTGCCATCACAGGCTCTGTTAGACTCTTCCCTAATTCCCCTCTCTGCTCCCCCAAGGCTCTGGCGGCTCTTTCAATCTCTCAGGATCCGGAGACATGTTTCTGGGGATGCCCGGGCTCAACGGAGATTCCTACTCTGCTTCCCAGGTCAGGTGGCCCACCTCCCCTCAAGCAGGGCTTTCCCAAACTTGGTTTCCCTCTCTTCAGAGTACTAGACTCCTCACTGTGCCATGCCCTTCTTTGCTGCCTGCAGGTGGAATCACTCCGACACTCAATGGGGCCAGGGGGCTACGGGGATAACCTTGGAGGAGGCCAGATGTACAGCCCTCGGGAAATGAGGGTGAGTGGACACCCGACACTCCCTTTGTCCACCTCTCACCTGGACAGGACGGCCTTTCCCCTGGCAGCGCTCTCTCCCACACCGGACTGCCCTGCCCCAACCGACTCTCTCTTTTTCCAGGCAAATGGTGGCTGGCAGGAGGCCGTCACCCCATCCTCAGTGACCTCTCCCACAGAGGGACCAGGGAGCGTTCACTCTGACACTTCCAACTGATCTTGCCCCTCAGGGCCACAGGGGTGGGGGCCCACAAGGCAACTTTTGAAGAGGACGCAGGCATCCAGAGGACAAACCCCAGACACAGGAGAAGCACAAGACAGAGAAGGGCCAATGGGGTCATCCCTTCCCCAACCAGACTCTCCAGTGCTGGGGGTGCTGACTACGTGGCAGGGAGAATGGGGGCCCCTGAGGGGAGAGTGGGATCTCCCCTTTTCCTTTTTTCAGTCTTTTTTTCCTCTCCCTCTCACACACAAACCACACACCGAGAACCCTGTTGTTCAGATCGCTTTCCCTTTGTTCTACCTGCCATACTGTATTCCGTTTCTGTCTCTTTCTCTGGGCTCCCCCACTGCCCCTCCCCACCCCATTTATCTACTCTGGAATCTGTGGAGAAGCCAGCCCTGCCTGACCAGAGATGCCAAAACTGGGGACACAGCTTCTGGACAGAGGACATGGGCCATGAACCCTGTGCCTCCCCACCCCCTGCCCCTCCAGATGGCTTTATTACCTCATACGCAGCTCATCTTAAACCAATAGAATCGCTCGGTGGACGAGAGTGTCTGACTCAGATATCTACCTCGGAGGGAGTTTCTGCTACTTTAGGGAATTGTTGACTGGGCTTTGGGGTTGATTGTTTTTTGGTTTTTTTTTTTTTTAAGGAAAGAAACGAAACCCTGGGATCCATTTGTACTTTATAAATTTTTTGTTGCTATTATCAGTTCTTAATTTTTAGTTTGGGAAAGTAGATGTTTTTATAAATATATTGTGGTTTTTTTTAATTTCTTGCTTTCTCATGTTAGGGGTGATAGCCAAAGGGGTCATAAGAGAAAGGGGAACAAACTTGTAAAGAGGCCCACCTGGCTCCAGTCCTGTCCATCAGAAAGTGTGTTTAGCAGGGCACCAAGCCTGCCCCCCTCCCCCCGAAATCACTTACGTGTTCTTTGCTTGTAAGATCACTTAAGTGTTCTTTGCTTATGCAGGCAGCTCTCTGCTGCGTTTGGTGTGGAGGTAGTCAGGGGCTTGCTCTGCTGACCTATCCCCCTCACCCTACACACACACAAACACACACAACCCTTGGGCAGGGCTGGACTCAGTTATTTTGAGGAAGTGCCACCTTCCTGTGAGTGACACGTCTTTAAACCTTTTTAAACTACTATTTGCAGATTGGAGGGGGAAGAATGGGAAAGGGGTTATTGCCAAATATGTTAAATATGGGTTGGGTTGCTTGTATATGTATCTCCCTCAATTTCCCCAAAAATGAGGCATTTTTTTTTTCTCGGTCCAAAATCAAGAGGGTGGGGAGACAGAGGAGGGAGGTTGCAAAAAGCCAGGTATGGGGGAAAGTAAAATCACCAATGTCCGATCCTTGGCCAGAACCCCACCATCTGAGCCCCTCAAACATCCTCAGGATTTTATAAGACTGTCATAGTGGGTAACCTCTCCTGTCAAAGGTCCAGACAGGACTGGAGGGGAGCAGATTGGGAGCAGATTAGATGTGTGATGGGTGGTGGGTGGGAGGCACGGGCCGGGGGCAGTTCTCTCCTCACTTGTAAACTTGGTAGTTTCACAGAAAAGGAAAAAAAAAAAAAATCAGTTTTAAATAAAGAAATTTCTTTTTTCCCTGGGTTTAGTGGAGCATTATTTTCAAAAACATGAGAAACCCCAGAATAAAATCTTTCTCTCATAAAGCCCCAAACAGGTGTTTCCCCCAACTCCTCCCAGCCTTGCCCTCACCACCCAGGCCCCAGGGTTCATCCAAAACCCTCCCCAAGGACACCAGCCAGGCCTGAACCCTGTTGCCCAACCTGACCTAAGTAATATGGGGCTCCAGTCGTCCACCAGGCAAGCCCTCAGTGGACTGACGGAATGAGTTGGGGGTCCTGAGTAATGACAGATCCTAGGAGGTCCACTCCCCGCCCCCATGGATGTGGCTGTGCCCAGAGACTGGCAGTGCCTAAGGGTGGGGTGATAATTGTTTCTCCTCGTACCTGAAGGACTCTTGTCCAAGAAGCATGAATTCCTAGCATTCCCTGTGGCGGGACAGGATGGGAAGATGGGGGTAGGGGAGAGGGTGCAAGCCCCACCTAGGGCTAGGGTGGTGGCCACAGCAGTGACGGGCAGACAGAGCCAGGAGCCTGGGAAGGAAGCAGGATGGCAGCGGCGGGAGCCTGGGTGCTGGTCCTCAGTCTGTGGGGTGAGCCACTCCCCCTCCAACACGCCAATCCTCCCCACAGAAAGCAATTCATCCCCCTCCCCAAACCTGCCCAGAACTTTCCTGGAACCCAGGCACTGCTTTTCAAGCTCCCTCCCCCATCTTGTCCTAGTTATCTTAGCCCCCCTTTCCCTCCTACCCCTCCACCATTGTACTGTCTCCCAGGAGCAGCAGTAGGCAACCGAAACATCACAGCCCGGATTGGGAAGCCACTGGTGCTGAACTGTAGGGGGGCCCCCAAGAAACCACCCCAACAGCTGGAATGGAAACTGGTAAGCAGGGCTCCTGCCACAGCCTCCCCACTCCCAGAGACCAGGGATGATTCGCTTCCCCATCTCCCCGTCTCATGAGTCCTTTCCCAAAGGACTTGCACTGTTCAGGCCCCTCTCCTCTGTCCCCAGAACACAGGTCGGACAGAAGCTTGGAAGGTCCTGTCTCCCCAGGGAGGCTCCTGGGATAGCGTAGCTCGAGTGCTCCCCAATGGCTCCCTCCTCCTGCCGGCAGTAGGGATCCAGGATGAGGGGACTTTCCGGTGCCGGGCAACAAGCAGGAATGGAAAGGAGACGAGGTCTGCCTACCAAGTCCGAGTCTACCGTAAGAGTTCCAGGGCCTTCTCCATGGCCCACCTCTCATCTAAGGAAAAGCCTTCAACCCCAGCCCTTGACTCCTTGGCCCTGGTGTGTGAGAACCTGTGACTTCAGCTGCCCCAGATCCCACACCCATGCGTGAGAGTCTTCAAAGCCGCAGCCTCTGACTGAAATTTTCCCTCCTTCAGAGATTCCGGGGAAGCCAGAAATTGTCGATCCTGCCTCTGAACTCATGGCTGGTGTCCCCAATAAGGTAGTGGAAGAAAAGGGGGGTAGTAGAAAGCAGTCCTGAGAAGAGGAAGGGGGTGTAAGGGAGGGGTGTGTGTGTGTGTGTGTGTGTGTGTGTGTGTGTGTGTGTGGTCTCTTACTTTCAAAGATGATGAAGGTCACTCTTTCCCCAGGTGGGGACATGTGTGTCCGAGGGAGGCTATCCTGCAGGGACTCTTAATTGGCACTCAGATGGGAAACCCCTCATACCTGATGGCAAAGGTAAGTCCAAAGTCCCCCCTCCCAGCTGCTTTCTTTCTGATCCCTTTCCCACACCCACCCCGGGATATCTTGCCTTGTCCTCCCCGCCACCATAGGAGTGTCTGTGCAGGAAGAGACCAGGAGACACCCTGAGACAGGGCTTTTCACACTCCAGTCGGAGTTGATGGTGACCCCAGCCTGGGGAGGAGCTCTCCATCCCACCTTCTCCTGTAGCTTCAGCCCTGGACTTCCCCGGCGTCGAGCCCTACACACGGCCCCCATCCAGCTCAGAGTCTGGGGTGAGTGGAGGCCCTCAGAGAGGGAAGAGTTAAGCCCATGGCCACTGAGACCACACACAGGTATAACTCTCAACTTCATGCCCTCTGCCCCAGAGCCTGTGCCTCCGGAGGTCCAAGTGATGGTACAGCCAGAAGGTGGGAAAGTAGTTCCCGGTGGTACCGTGACCCTGACCTGTGAAACCCCTACCCAGTCCTCCCTTCAAATCCACTGGATCAAGGATGTGAGTGACTTGGAGAGGGGGCTGGGAAGTAGACAGACACATCACTGGCAACTAGGACAGGAGGCCCATGGAGAGGCAGGCAAGGAGCTGGGAAAGCCGACCGAATATCTGAGGATGTGAAGACAAAGACAGGAGTATGGGATGTGTGGAGATGTTGTACTAGTCTCCTGTCCCCCTGCTCCCCCCAGGGCATGCCCCTGCACCTTCCCCCCAGCCCTGTGCTGCTCCTGCATGAGGTGCAGCATGAGGACCAGGGAACCTACAGCTGCGTCGCCACCCATCCCAGTCATGGGCCCCAGGAAAGCCCTGCTGTCCGTGTCGTCATCGGTGAGGAGACCTCTCTCCAAATCCCAGGGATCCTGGGGCTGGGTTAAGGGACAATGTAGACTTCAGTTCGCTAGCCCATCCTGGCCCTGTCCCCAAGAACCACCACACCCCTCCCCAGTGCACCCCATCCAGGCCTCCTCTGTCCCACCCAAACCCTCCCAAGAGAGCGGCCCAGCCTGTCCCCTCTCTCCTCTGAACTGAAGAAAGGGAAAGACTCCATCAGGGCTCCCACTAAATAGACTTCTCTCAAACTGAGACCTTCCCTTCTAACTTGCTCTTTCTTTCAGAAGCAGAGGAGGGGCCGATCGCAGGTGAGGGGTTGGAAGCAGATGGCCCCAACGTGACTGGGGGATGGATGGTCAACAAGAAAGGAATGGTGAGTGGTGGGGGCCCTCGCTTCTCCCCATCTCTCTACAGGCTCTGTGGAAGGGCAGGAACTGGGAACTGTAGCCCTCGTCCTGGGGATCCTGGGAGGCCTGGGGATAGCCGTCCTGCTCATTGGGGCCATCATGTGGCGAAGACAGCGACGTCGAAGAGAGAAGAGGTGAGTGGAGAAAGCCAAACACCTCAGGCTTGGGACCTCCAGGCAGCAAGGAGGGGTGTGGGGGAGGAAAGATGGAGTGCTAGAAACCATGTGCAGAATTCTCCCCAATCCCCCTCCCCAGGAAGGCCTCAGAAAACCAGGAGGAGGAGGAGGAGCGCGCAGAGCTGAATCAGCCAGAGGAGCCAGAAGCAGCTGAGAGCAATGCAGCAGGGCCTTGAGGGGCGCACAGCTAGACCCCATCTATCAGCCCCCTTTTCTCTTCCCCCGGCTCCGTTCTGGCCCCAGATCAGTTCTCCCCTGTATAACCTGTATCCCACCTCACCAAACTTGCTTCCACAACCAGAGCCTCCCATAGCGATAAGTAAACACCTCACCCATTTGCTCTCGTGCACGTGTGTGTGTGTGTGTGTGTGTGTGAGAGAGAGAGACACCCTCACCCCCTGAATTCTTGAGAGCCTTGAAGAAGAGAGGCTCACCCTCACACCTCCCCACACCACACAGATATTTACTCAAGTTGGGGAGAAGATGCTCCTGTCCTGGAAGGAAGGAGGTAAGGACAAAGGTGGGCAGAGCTCCCATCAATATATCTCACCTTGTTTATTGAATTTATAATAAAGGAGGTAGTGAGGGGAAGAAAGCACTTAGAGTCAGAACCCATATTAGACACTGGGGAGAGAGAAATTAAGTTAAATCAACACGGGGAAAGTAGGAGAGAGTCAGAGGGAGCCTTGCCCATCTTTCAACATCAAATCAATAAATGTGGGGGAAAGCAAAGGATCAGGAGAGAGAAGAAACAGACACTCTCTTTTGTCTGTCCTCCTGTCCCAGAGTTGGGAGTTATGACGCTACTCAGTGAGTTCAGAGCAGAAGGTTCTCCTATACTCTGCACAGATGTCACTCCTCCCCACACCCTCCTAGAAAGTGGCCAGGGTTGGCCTTAGCCAACAGAAATGGAGGAGTTGGGGAGGAGGGGCCAGGAGTAAGGAAGGGTCAGCAAGGACCCCCAATACTGATTCTCCTCTGGCTGGAGGTGGGCAGGAGGGAGACAAAGATCAAATACTGAGCAGCCAGAAAAAGAAGAAGATGGCGAGAAACAGGAAGAGGGAGTCCTGCCAGCTGGAGGCCGGGTGACCCTGTCCCAGATCCACACCTGTAGGAGAGAGGAAAGCTGTGGAAGAAGCATCCACTCCTGGGTTGGGAAGGGGCCTGAGCTGAGGGAAGGCTCTTACCTGTACCCCGACGGAACGGCTCATGGGTGTTGAAGACGGTCGTGAAAAAGCCAAAGGGAAAAGCACCAACACCAAATGAGAAGTGAAAGCCCCCAGTATCGCCAAATGACTGGAATCCCTAGGGAGGTGGAGAAAGTCAGAGGAGAACTGGGCAGGGTCTGTGACAAGGAAGGAACACAATCGGACAAGACTCACCCCTCTGCTCTCCGGAGCTGGTCGCTGGCCCTGGGGGCGGGGTGGAGTTTTCAATCTGAAGAATAGAAGAGGGGCTAGGCACAAGAACGTCCTCTCCCCTTCCACACCCCACTCCCGGGGCAGAAGCCCTCCATCTTCCGTCAGCACCACCCCCTCTCTTTCACCTGGGGTCCTGGGGCTTCTGGCTCCCTCGCCCATAAAGAGGGACCACCTTTTCTCTGCTGATCCCAGCTTTACACACTGGGCACTCTTGCCGCTCTGGTCGCGTCTCCAGCCACTGAGGGAGAAAATGAAGTGGTTTCCAGTTCACAGCAGGGTCTTTCAACTCCTCAGACCTCCCCATTTCCCTCTTCATCTCCTCTGAATACGCACCTGATGAAGACAGGGCCAACTGGATGGGGGGAAAAAAAGAACGTCAAACTAGCTACAGAAAAGACAGACACGGACCGGACCTCACAGAGTCCGATCTCACCCCCTCTTCCCAGGTATTACCTACTGTTTCTTTTCATATTTTTGACAACCTCTACCAAGCCAGCCAGTTTGGCCTTCCCTCTTCTCTGATCTTACAACATGTAAAGCACTATCTATCCCCAACATGCTCAACCCTTTTCTCTCCCGCAACACACACACACACACACACACACACCCATCCCCTCCCTTCTCTGCCTTTCGACTTAAGTTTTCAGGTCTCTTCAACCAGGGCTTTCCAGATCTCCTCTTTCAGCCCCAGCCCCACCCTTGCCCCTATCAATCCCAAACCAAACCCCCTTTACTAGCACCTGCCCCCACTACTCCTTTTCCTCTCTTCTTCGCTTAATAAAGTCCCTATTTCCACCATCCTTTAACTTCTCAGGGTTGCCCCTTCAGTACCCTTGTCCTCAGGTTTGTTATACCACTCCCTACCCATATCTCATCTGAATGTGATCCCACATTCCCTAGGTCTCCCCAACTCAACTAATAAGGCGTGCCTCCCCTAACCTTTGGGTCTAATCTGTTAACACCTGTACAGCTAAGACCCCTCACTTTCTGGGGTAAGGTGGCTCGGGTCTCATCTGTACAGATGTGCTGTGCCCCACCCCCGCCCCGCCCCACTTCCTCTTAACACACCGTATCCCTCAGCTCCTCGTTCCTATGACTCTCCGTCCCACGGGTCTCCTCTGTACAGACATGACCCTCTCGCCCACACATACCAAAAGAGACGTAAGTCCCCTCCTCGGGCCTCAGCGATGGGGATGTGCCCTCCGATTACCTGTATGATTGTATGCCACCCCGCCCCCAGCCCCCGCAGTAAGGAGGTGAGCCCCACTTCTTTTCTCCCCCTCCCGGATTCTCACCAGTACAGGTGGCCACACACACTGACCACAGCTTCCCGAGCAGTCTCCAAACAAATATTACATTCGAAGGTCGCGCCCGCCCCGCCCCGCTCGCGGTTTGGCCCTTCGGGGCCCCCGTCCTCCTCCTCTGCCGCTGCCATGGCCGGTTCTGTTTCGCCTTCACGTACCCCTCAATCCCCCCAAACACACACACACACGCCCCAACAACGAGAAACCGCCTCCAGCCCACGATCGTTGGGCGGGCTTCAAGGTTTTCTAAGCACTATTGGCCTGAGTAACTGACAATCACACAGTTCAAAAGAAAGGATTGGTCCAGAGCGTAGGGGTAGGTTTGCGCAGTCCTGCCCTTGCACAATGATTATTGGCTGATACAGTCTCAGTCAGTATGCAATGCGATGGGATTGGTAACAATTCGATACGTCCCGTCGCCCGACCAGGGAGAGATTTATTCGTCTGATTAGCTGTCAGTCATAACCAAAGGCCAGAAGCAATTGGCTCGGGACTACATCAGGCCTCGCCTACTACAAGCCCCTTTCTTTCCTTCACTTCCCCTTTCAGAGAATGTCCGATTCCTATTGGACTTTGGATCGTAGGGCTCCAAAGCACTTGATTGGCCGGAGCTCGATGGAAAAAATGGTGGTTAGGTAAAATGCGCGTGCGCAGCAGGCGGCGGGAAGGGGTGGGCCAATCCTGTGAGGGTTAAGCTTTCTCTGGTCCCACCGCTTCACCTCTATCTTGTCGCCATGGTGACTGCTCTACGATTGGCGGGGTTTGGGGTTCAAAGGCCTTGGCTCGGCCTCATCCGGGTCCTCCGGCTCTGGTCTCTCTAGGTTGATTGGGCAGTTTCTTTCACCCCTGATTGGCCGAGAACGGAAAAGACGGCGAAAGGCTCGGCAAGAGACCAAATACTAGGGTCGCAGCGTTCAAAATGGCTCCGGCCTCCTTTCGTGACGTAGAGAGCAGAACTTGGGTTCGCCCCTCCTTTTTGGTGAAGAAGGGAGCAGAACTGGGATCAGCTCGACGTTTGGATGGTGCGAGCATCGATCTGCGGCGCTGGTGTTAACCCATCTCCCTCGGCTAGAGAACTCAGCCTGCTCCTCCTTAGGTGATTTGCAGAACAAAACTAAAGGCCCGCACCTTTTTAATGTGACACAGGGTATGACAGAGTTGATCTCGACTCCGTTTTAAACCTTAAAAGCAGAAAAGGCCTAGTTCCACCCTTTCGTGAGTAGGTGCCGAGGGGGCTAAGGCCCGCCCCTTTTTGGGCGACCCGCGGTGGAATGGGGTCAGGCCCGCCCCTTCCGTCCTGTAATGTGTCCCGCAGAACTGGGGTCTTCCTCCTGGGTTGGACCCCTGGGACTTGGGCAAGCCAGAGCTTGGGCTTTTTGTACGAGTTTGGGCCTTTTCTACAGTCAGTGATCCTCACTGTGGCCCAAGGAGCAGAACTAGGTAACAGCCCTCCCACTACCAGTGTTCTTTACATCCTCTACTTCAGGGCGTGTAAACTCAAGCAGGGCCGAGGTTGTGTCTGGCAGCGGGGACAGAGGCTGAGGGCAGTACAACACCCAGAAAAGGTCCCACGTGACTCAAGTGAGGAAAGGTGAGAGGTTGGGAGTTGCCTAGAGGAGGGAGCGGGAGGTGAAGGTACAGGATGCCTGTACAGGTTTAGGAGAAAAGTTATTGAGGAAGAGGTGGAAACCAAGGAGAGGAGTGATGGAATGATCCCGGTAGAGGGATAGTGGAAGTATGGGGAAGAGGAGATCAGGGGCTGGAGAGGGAAGAGATACAGGACCACAGAATTAACGAGGCATGCTCATCCCAGAGTAACCTAGCGTTCTTTCTCATTTTCTTTTTTAAAGCAACCTAATGCCCAGTTTCTATTGGAAAAGATGCGCTCAGATTCTATGTTGTGGAGAGGGGCTGTCTCAGCTTCAATGACTAAGGAGACCGATAGGAAGGAACCAGAAAAGCAAAAGTACTGAGGTTAAATAAAGAGCGTGGGAGGACAGGGGCAGGGAGAGATTCTGAGAGTATCCCTTCTCTTTAAAGACCTGAGGGGGTTGAAGGAGGGAGCTGGACTGCTGGGCGATAGTGGGGACGGGGTAGGGGGAGGGCAAAAGTCATAAAGAATCAGCGAGAGCTGCAGGGTCAGGGAGATGGAGCCCTGGAAAGAAGACGACAGATGGAGAACTCAGTGCTTAGCGTATAGTAGGTGCTTGAAAATATCTGGAATTGAATGGGGGACAGGAAAGAGGTATTCGGAGAAGAGTTGGAAGGAATAAACAGCAGATAAGGGAGTTGAGAATGGAAGAAACCAAGTGAAATTTCCAGGAAGAGGAGAGCTGATGAAGAAGGAATGGGTCAAGGAAGGAATACAGCACCAAGGGACACACAAGCCATGTGTACTGAAAGGGAGTTGGAGGAGAAAAAGACGCAGCTGGAGCCAGAGAAGGCCAGAGACCCAGGCAGAGCCCAGCCGAGCTCTCGCGGGCGGAGCTACCAAGAGGAGACTGGCCGATGCTGGGAGGAGATGCCTGCGTCTCTGGGGGGCGATTGGCAAAACGGGCCGCCCATCACCGCCCCCTACTTCCTGGCCAGCCCCGGAAACCAGCAGGCGTTGGGGGGGGGGGGATAGCGGCAACAGCAGCCCCAGCCCTCAGAGAGACAGCAGGAAGGAAGGGAGGAAGGGAGGGAGCTGGGGGGACAACCCCCCTCACCATTCCTACCGCAATGGGCCCAGCCTCCCACTCTCACCTCCCCTCCATCGGCCGGGGCTAGGACACCCCCAAATCCTGTCGCCCCTTTGGCACCGACACCCCGACCGAGGCAGAGACACAGCCACCCGCCACCACCGCTGCCGCAGCCTGGCTGGGGAGGGGGCCAGCCCCCCGGGCCCCCCACCCCACTGAGGTGGGGGCGGGAAAGGGATGGGAGGAAGTGGGAGGAGGGTGCTGAGAGGGACTTGGAGGAGGGGATGGGGGAGAGATTGGGTCTGGGAGGCGGGCTGGAGAGACGGTTGCTGGGGAAAGGAGAGGGGCCCTGAGAGGGAGGAAGGATGGAAGAGACACAGAGGGAGGAGAGACTCGGAGACCCTGTGAATTTGGGATGGGGGTGTGGACAGAGAGTCCTGAAGAGGGAATTCCTGACACCGTCCCCAATTCCTTTTCCTGCCCTTTGGCCCCACATGACTCTTAGGGGGTTGTGGCCGGGAGAAGGCGGTTTCTTGCTCTCCTTCCCCCAGCAGAATTTGCTTCCTAGGAATGCCCTCAGATACCTGTTTCCATCTAGGCACAGGACCTTTCTCAGTGGCCGTCCACACTGGGCTAGATCCTTACTGACACACAGATGCTTTGTGGGGGGCCATGTTTTCTACATTGAGTCTGTGTGCCTTTGACATGTATAATGGATTATGTGCGGCTAGCTTCTCCCTATGCTATCCGTGGACTGTGGAGAAATGATGTGTTATTTTCCATCAGAATTGCCCATTCTCCTATCTTATGTCCGTGTCTCATGCCCAGTCTTGACAGTGTTCAAATGTGTGAGTTTTTATGTTATTGCATCCATTATGTGGTTTCATGTTTCTTGCACATTTTATGCTTTTGCATGTTTACTTTTGCATGTAAAGATTATCCCTTACTTGTTTTGGTTCATATATCATGTATTATGTCCACGATCCTGTCATATGCAGTAAGTCTTCCTGTGTGGGATCCTGTGGTTTAGTTGACTAGTGCACACTCCTGTTGTGATCAGGCTGACCTGTGTGCTGCATGTGTTTCCCAGTCAGGGTTCACACCACACCTGTGCGTGCTGTGATCCTTTACATATTTATCATATTTATGCTGATGTGACACGTCCACAGCATATGTGCTTCTGGTTACACATACTATTTATTTCATTTTATTGGCAGTATATTTTTGTGAGTCTTATGCACATTACCCATTTGGCACTCCATGGTGCTAATTATTAATCCTTGGACATTTCTGCTCCGGAGAGGGTCACTTAATGTCGTGTATTAGAGAAAAAGGTGACGGGGCCTTCATGTCCCCAGAGAACCATCCCCATATGCCTTACCTTGCTGACCTTCCTGGCCTGTGTCTCTTCACATACATTCTCTTTCCGGGGGCTATGGCCTGTGTCTCTTCACATACATTCTCTTTCCAGGGGCCTGTCTTCATGGAGCTCAGTGCATGCCACAGGGTCAGCCCTGCTGTGCACGTTATCTCTTCCCCACTCTTTTTGCACTGTTGGCATGTATTTGATGACAGCAGCATCTCTCCCCTGTGGCATGTTAATCCCCATTCTGTATGTTTCTCTTCTGTGTGAGATGGGATGCGCTATCTTGATTGTTGGTGCTCTCCTTTCAATGTGACCGGATATTGTGTGTGCATATTCAGAGGTTACTGTTAGGCTTCTTATGTTCATGGTTTTCTGGTGACTTATCTTTTCACAGTTAATAGTCCTCAAGAGTGTAGCTATTTGATTCCTGATCATCTCTGTCATTAATTATGGCTGTGTGGTTATGTGTTCAGCCTTATAATCTGTTCCGCAGATGTTTATTGAGCCCCCTCTCTGCCTCCTGCTGTCCCGGGTATTGGGAGTTCCTACCCTCAAGCCACTTACAGACTAGGGAAGGAACAGAAATGCCAGTGAGCAGTTACATACACTGTGGTGTCAAAATCAGTGGTTCTCAGACTTGTGTGCACACCAGACTCACTTGGAGGGCTTGTTAAAATACAGATTGTTGGGCCCAAGGCCCAGGATGTCTGATTCGGGAGATCTGGGGTGAGGTCCAAGAATATGCATCTCTACACTTTGAGAACCAGTGATCGAGATGAACGTGTAATGAAAACTCAGGCCAGGTGGGGTTCAAGAAAGCTTCCAAAGCATGAGGCTGAGCTGTGTGAGGCAAATGAAGAGGCAGAAGGGCATTCCAGCCTGTTCGCAGCACAGAAGCAGGAAAGACTGTGGTGTATCTGAGGAACTGGAGTTGGCGCGAAAAAGGCTTTTGTGGGGGTGTGGCCAAAGATGGAAGCAGAAGTCAACTTGTCTAAAGGGCCTGTAGACAAGACAGGGAAATGCTCGGATTTGTGTCACAGAAAGATCTCTGTGGTTGCCATGTGGACGACTGTTTCTCTAGTGCCTATTTATTAACCTTCCCTGATTGGCAACGGACTTACCTTTGAACACAGACCTCCTTGTCATTGGAAGGGAGTGCCTGTAGCCTTGCTGGGAGTGACAGGTATTGCCTGAACACCATTTTGTGACTTCTGACCCTGCGGCCAACAGTGGGGCAGAGTGGAGGAAGGAGGAAGAACCTAGAAGGCAGGTTCTGTGTGCCTGCCGGCACCTCTTCCTCCTGAACTCTTTCCTCTCCCAGGGCAGGTGGTGTGATGTCTGTTTTACTCTCTGCCCTCTTTTTTTTTTTTTTTCACTTGGTCAGGCCTTACGCATTGTATCTGCCTGACCAGGTAGCCTGCAGTATCCCTGGAAGCGGGGGAAGGGGGCAGAAGGATTTGTTTGCCTGCCTGTGGAGGCAGGATTGATAGATGGTAGCTACTTCTGGTATGTCTATGGGTTTATCTGGGAATGGGAAGGGGGGTGGGGGTGGCTACCTTGGGGGAGAAGGGTTTCTCTGGTTATGCATTTACTACACATTCCTTCATCTGTTACTGGGCATGATTTTAAGTTTGCCTTCTGGTGTGAGCGGGTCAGTCTGTGTATGACTGTGTGGGTTTGTGTTTGCGTTAGTGACAGAGCCTTTATTCTAGCCACTGTGCTCTTGAGAATGTCTGTGGGTGTTCTGTCCCGTAACTGTATCTGCTATGTGTACACCTATGTGTATTTATATGGGCAGCAGCGGCACCGTGGTTAGGAATACAAGCTGCTTAGGTTTAAACGAGGAAGTGCCTCTGAGGAGCCCTGTCCCCTCAGGTAAGTTATTTAACCTCCTGTAAAATGTAAATTGTGTGGTTCGTATTTAAGGGTTTAACATAGTCTATAGATCAGCCCTAACCCAACGGAAATATAAGGCAAGCCACATGTAATTTTTAATTTTCTGGTAGATACGTCAAAAAAGGTAAAAAGTAACAAGGTGAATTTAATTTTATTTATTTATTTATTTTAAAGATTTTATTTATTTATTTGACAGAGAGAGACACAGTGAGAGAGGAGCACAGGCAGGGGGAGTGGAGGGGGGAGAGGCAGGCTTCCCGCCAAGCGGGGAGCCCAATGCGGGGCTCGATCCCAGAACGCTGGGATCATGACCTGAGCCAAAGGCAGGCGTTTAACGACTGAGCCACCCAGGCGCCCCGGTGAATTTAATTTTAATAATATGTTCTGTCGAAGCCAGTATTCTGAAAGGTTAAGATTTCAAAATGTAATCAATACAAAAGATTATTAGTGGGCTATTTTACATTCTGTTTTTTTATTCAGAGTCTTTGAAATCTAATGTGTATCTTAACACTTACAGCAAATCTCGGTTCAAGCTACCACACTAGACAGACAGTCCTAAGACCTTACCAGCTGCAAGTGTCTATTGCGGTTACTGTTGTCCTCTTATCATGTGTCTGAGTTGTGGATGGCCGTATCTCATGTCTCTTGTCTTTGTGAATGTTTCTGGAGCCTTCCAGGAGAGGGGTGGGAGAGCAGTCCTGAGCTCCCAGCCCCCCGCACCCCCATCCCAGAGAGGTTTCCTGGGCAGGTTTTGCTGGGAGCCCTGACCCCATCCTGTGTCTCTGGCCCTTGTCCTCATAGCTTCTGTGCCCTGCCCACCCCTCTCCCCCACCCAGGAGCCAGGCCCACTGTCCCTTGCCCTTTCCCCTGCAGGCGGCCAGAATGGAGCTGTGGCCGGGGGTATGGACCGCGCCGCTGCTCCTCCTCCTTCTGCTGCCCCTCCTGCTGCCCGCCCTGTGGTTCTGCAGCCCCAGTGCCAAATACTTCTTCAAGATGGCCTTCTACAATGGCTGGATCCTCTTCCTGGCTGTGCTCGCCATCCCTGTGTGTGCCGTGCGAGGGCGAAACGTCGAGAACATGAAGTGAGGGCTGGCGGCGGGGGGGGGGGGGGGGGGGGGGTTGGGTGATGAGAGAACCTCAGAGTCAGAAGTGAGCAGTGGATGGGGAGGATGTGGGGTGTGTAGAGAAAGTAGAGAGAGCCCAGGGACAAGGAAGGCCAGAAGACTGCAAAGATGCCTGGGAAGACAGCGGGATGGGGGAACGGAGGCCTGCCGACGGACGGCAGTGGGTCCTGCTGGAACCCCTTGCCATGACCCCACAGGATCTTGCGCTTGATGCTGCTGCACATCAAATACCTGTATGGGATCCGAGTGGAGGTGCGCGGGGCTCACCACTTCCCTCCCTCCCAGCCCTACGTCGTGGTCTCCAACCACCAGAGCTCACTGGACCTGCTTGGTGAGATCCCTCATAGGGCACACCTCCCCCCCACCCCTGCCATGCCCTTCTTCCTTCCCCAGAATCTCTTCCTCTAGGGGTCCTCACCTCCCCTTCATCTGAACTTTGCCCCCTGGCTCCCTTCTCCCCTTCCCCCCCGCCAGACCTTCTCACCTGCATAGGCAGGCTAATACATGTTTAATCACCTCTTCCTCCCCTCAGTCTCCCTTTTCCTTTATCTCCAGTCCTTAGTAGTGTGGCCCCGCTTACCCTGACACTTCACCTCCTTTGGCCTTCACCCTTCACCCACCCCACCTTTGCCCTAGGGATGATGGAGGTACTGCCAGGCCGCTGTGTGCCCATTGCCAAGCGTGAGCTGCTGTGGGCTGGCTCTGCTGGGCTGGCATGCTGGCTGGCAGGAGTCATCTTCATCGACCGGAAGCGCACAGGGGATGCCATCAGTGTCATGTCTGAAGTCGCCCAGACCCTGCTCACCCAGGACGTGAGTCACCCTGTGGGAAAGGAGGGTCAGGGCATTGTGGAGTAGCGCAGTTGTAAATAAACTGAGATGCAGGGCCAGCGGGCCTCAGCGGTCCCATTACAGCGTCACAACCATATTCTGACCCCTCCGTGTGTGGTTCCCCAGGTGCGGGTCTGGGTTTTTCCTGAGGGCACGAGAAACCACAATGGCTCCATGCTGCCCTTCAAACGTGGCGCCTTCCACCTTGCAGTGCAAGCCCAGGTAACGACTACTTCCCCTTCTGCTACTGAGCCCCCCAGCTTCCACCATCCCTTTCTTTCTTGGCAGACGCTTGTCATAGGGCCTTGGAAGGGAAATGTGGGCTGTTTGTTTTTCCCTTTCCCCAGGTTCCCATTGTCCCCATAGTCATGTCCTCCTATCAAGACTTCTATTGCAAGAAGGAGCGCCGCTTCACTTCCGGTGAGGGCTCGAGTAGACCTGGGGCTGGGGGTGGCCAGAAGGGCCATGGATGAGAGAGGTTAGAGGGATTGGCCCCACCAGGGAGGAGGATGGGTCGGTGTCAGAACTGAGATGTCCAGAGGATCATCCAGTGTGACCGCACATCAACCAATAAATATTTATTAAGCACCCACCATACCCTGCTACACGGGTAACGCTCAGTCCCTCCAGGAGGGGCCGTTACTGTCCAGTGGGAGAGATAAGGCCTGTGTGCACAACGCTATAGTAACACTCGGCAGTAAAGGCTAAGCTGAGACGATGGGGGCTGAAAGAGTGCTGAGGAGGTGTCTGGACTGGGTGCATGGGGAAGGCTTTGTGCAGGAGGGCCTCGGACCAGGTGGCAGCTGACAAGCACAGGGCCAGTTGTCCAGGGTAGGGGGAAGAGAACTGAAAGGTTGGGGAGGGAGGAGCAGGAGAGCTCAGAAACTGTGCCCCACCTGTGGGCAAAGGCCCAGGGAGACAGGCCATGATGGTGCTCACCCCCTCCCAGGGCGATGTCAGGTACGGGTGCTGCCCCCCGTGCCCACAGAAGGGCTGACACCAGATGACGTCCCAGCTCTGGCTGACAGAGTCCGACACTCCATGCTCACCGTTTTCCGGGAAATCTCCACTGATGGCCGGGGCGGTGGTGACTATCTGAAGAAGTCTGGAGGGGTGGGCGAGGCCCGGCTCTGAACTCCCCTCCCATTTACCCCCACCTTCCTCCCACACCTACCCGCCCAGTGCGCCCTGATCCTCTTCCTTGTTTCTCCTCTCCCCACTGTTCTCCTCTTGGGAATCTTCAACTTCTGAAGTGAATGTGGATACAGCACCGCTCCTTGTCCCCTCCCAGCTCTCCCCCACGGACTCTCTTGCCTCGGTGCAGTCTCCACTCTGACCCCACCCACCTCCTGTGCCATCTTGTCTGTGGGACGGTTACCTCCCCCCTCATCTCCAGTGGCTCACCTACACGAGGGTGGGAACACGCCATCCTTTCCCCAGTGGACCCTCTTCCTTTGTGATCTTCTCTCCCTCTCCACCCCACATTGGCCAGTGGACTCATCCATTCTGTGGAACAATACCCTCCCACAAGTCCATGGATTCAGTGGACTTATCCATTTGTGAGGACTCCTCACACTGTGGCTGGAAGTGATGCCTGGAACATTCCTGGCTTATCCTGGGAACACTCTTCAGCACCCTCACACTCCCTCCCATGGAGCCTGTCAGTGGAGGCTGGACTCTTCTCACTCAGAGGTCTATCTCATCCTGCCCATACCCAGGTGCCCAGGGGTGAGCATACTCCTAGATGCCAGTTTGGTCTCCACATTTCTGCTTCCCCCTGTCCCTGTGGTACAGTTCTTCAGTGGTCCTGGCCCCAATCCAGCCCCCTGCAGCCCTGCTGTACCATTCTAACCACACACAAGGGAAGAGGCAGACATCAGGTGCTGCACTCACTTCTGCTCCCTGGGGAATTGGGGAAAGGAACTGAACCCTGGCTGGACGGATGGGAGGGCTTTTAATTTATTTCTCTTCCTTTTGAGGCTTCCCTTCTCTGAGCCAGTTTTCATTTCCTCCCTGTGGCATTAACCACTCCTGCCTCCCACCCCAGACCTATGCCCACAAACTGGGGAGATGGGCTGGGAGCAAAAGGAGAGGGCAGGACCCAGTTTTGCGTGGTTGGTTTTTATTAATTATCTGGATAACAGCAAGAAACCGAGAATAAAGACAGAGAGAGAGAGAGATCTGGGCACTTTCTGGCTGCATTTGTGAAGGCATTAAAGTGGTTCTCGCCCAGGCAACCTGCCCCAGCCAGAAGACTCGGGTGGGCCAAGGCACCCATCTTCCCCGCCTTTCTTCAGCTCTTGGAAGTCTCCATCACTATTGCTCCTTAGTGGCAGATAACCTTATCTGCACTTCCCCACCTGGCCGATCCCAAAGGATTAGCGGGGCCAGTTTCTGTATAAATTAGGGGACCGGGGCTCTGGAGAGTTTCCTTTTTGGCCGGTTGAGGCCTGGGCCCAGGCTGTTGTCCTCACAGGAGCCTGGTGAATGACAAGGAAGCAAGCAGACACATTGGCTGTAGACTTCTGGGGCTACCAGGGCACTGGAGAGACTCTCACCCAACAAGAAGTGGACTGGGGACAGGGCACCAGAAGAATGGGTGAAGTGTGGATATCTAGGGACAGTATGGGAAGACTGAAGTGTTGGGGAAGGGCTTGGGGAAAAGAGAAAAGTGATCTAGGGAAAGGTGTCTCGGAGAGCTGGGCGCAGCTATTGGGCGAGGGGGGTTCGAGCAGAGAGGGGTAGGAGGACTCACTCACAGGCGCCTAGCCTCTCCTCCAGCAGCAGCACCTGATCGCTGAGAGACTCGATCCTGTCACTGCGGCCCCATAGCTCTGCCACCTTTTCCGGCTGTAGCTCTTCCGGAGGCATGGGCAGCACAGCTCGGACCCAGGCCCCGGCCTGACCAGCCCACTACAAAGGAAGAGACACCTCAGGAGTGCTGGGGTGGGGCACACCCTGCCGGGAGGGCTTGACCCCCATCTCCACTCACGTGCTCCAGCCGCTCCAGGCGCGCTCGCAGCTCCTGGATCTCCCACCTCAAGACGCGCTCATCATGTTCTGCTTCCCGAACTGGAGACAAGAGTGTGTCACCACTGCCCAGTCGAGCCCGGGCCCTCGCCGCCCCACTCACTCACCCGCCACGCTGAGGACGCTGGCACTGGTTGGCGGCTCCAGGGCGCCCTCTGCGCACGTGCGCCCGTCCGGGCCCAACACCAGACCCTGGGGACAGTGGCAGGTGAAGCTGCCCGCCGTGTTGATGCAATGGTGCGAGCAGAGGGTGACGCCAGTCCTACATTCATCCACGTCTAGTTAAGGGAAAGAGGAGAGGGCTAAAGGGTGGGGGCGAGCCGGCGCCCCAAGGGTGGTGAGGTCCTGATGCCGCTGGAGGTGGGGATGGGGGTGGGCCACTCACCCACATGACAGTGCTTCCCACCCCAGCCTGGGGTGCACTCGCACTGCTGTGGCCTGACGCAGACGCCTCGGTTCAGACATGGCTTGGCGCAGATGGCTGTGGGTGCAGGAGGGCGGTTCGAGACAGGACCAACAGCCAGCTTCCCCAGCCCTGCAACGCGCCCTGTCCCCAGGCCTGGGAAGACCCAGTCTTACCTTCATCACAGGTGAGCGCCCCCGGATGCCGCTTCTTCCAGCCCTGGCAGCACACAACATGGGTCTGCTGCACCTCCCTCCTCACCTCCCTCCACGCCACTCGGTATGTGGTCCTAGAACACAGGCCTGGCTGTGAATGTTGGTTTATGGACTTTGGTCTGGGTTCTTGAAGTTCTTCTTGAAAGACTTGCAGAGTCCAGGCTCCCCAGCCCTCACCTGTAGGTGCTGCAGACGTGCCTTCCACTGCACACAGTCAGGTAGGGCTTATACACTGCTTGGCTGTAGGACTCGTTGTAGTGGAGGGGGACCACCAGCATCTGCTTGGAGCAGACCCCCTGACTGCACCCAGGCCGGAGGGTGAGAGACACTGAGTGGGCCAGGCCCTGGGGGCCAGGAATCCCTCTCCCCTCAAGGCTCCAATGAGGCCCCACCCCCATTCTAAACTTCATGGTTTTGCCACCTGTTGAAGTCCCACCCCCAGCAGGTTTCCTGAAGACCTCATACCTGCCCCCGCCCCCCGTCATCACCTCTCTTTAAGGGATCCACCCTTGGCCCCCTGGACTGACATCAGTAGCAGGAGGAACGAGAGTCCGCCTAAGAGAGTGTATAGCTCATCCCTGGACCCCATGATTCTCCTTGACTCCAAACTCTGCAGGCTGCAGGCAAGAAGAGGTTAATGGAGGCCCTTCCCCTCTCTTGTAAGCTCTCCAGCTCCAGCCCCTCCAAGAGCCCAGTCGGCTAGTGCCCTCTAAGGGAGTCAGCACGTTCATTTGTACACACTTGCACTAGCCACCAGCATTGTCTACACCTGCATGTACATTTAACGTGACCCCTTCGTTCAGCGCACACGGTCCCCGCAGCATCATGCAAGGGCACACCCCAACACACTCCCTCCACCTCCCCTCTGCACAACCCAGTTAACTCTCCCCCAGGACCCTCCTATCTGTAACATGCCCTCTTCTATCTTAATTTTTCTATCTTCAAAGCCTCAGATATTCACCATTACACCCCCTCACACCCTGCACCCAAAACCATGCACCTAGAAAATGCACCTTAAATACATCCCTACTACCTCCCACACCGACACCCCTCCCACAACACTCCCCAACTCACACTCATTCTAAGGCTCATCCCCCATTGACATGGTCTCCCCACCTGTCTTTCCCTCTCTCCGGGAGACTTCAAGTAGACCAGCCTCAGCAGCAGCAGCTCAGACTGGTGGGCGGGTTGGGCAGGCTGGGAAGGAGAGGAGGGGCTGGGCCAGACAGAATCCTCCCATTCTTGCCCCCTCCCACAAGACTTCATAGTTCCAGCTTGATCTGCTCCGTGGGGTCCAAGTCCCACTACCCTCACCACCACCCCAGGGAAGGGCCCCCTAGAAGTAAATTTCCAACCCTCTGAGGCCCCTTATTTCTGGACTCCCCAAATCAGCAGAGGCTACTGGCTCTGTAACATCACTGGTACCCCTGGCCCTTGCCACACCCCTCAACCCAACACAGACTGGGGAAGAAGTGGGGGGCAGGGAGACAGAACTGGCAGAGAAAAGCAGGGTCAGGTGATGGGAGAAGAGGCAAGATCAGCTGAAGAAAGAAAGGAGGGCAAGTCCTCACAAAAGGCCAAGGGGGGGGCGGGGGGACAGCCCAGGGCACTAAGGGGAAATTTCCCCGTTTCTTGATGACATTTGTTAGGGCCTTGGGGGGGGGGGGCAGAGTTGAGTCAGCCACCACCCCCCATGCGAGAGTAGACAGGGCCCTATTGTCTCCACCAAAATTCCTTCTTTCAAGGAAGAGGAGGCTCATTGTCCAGCCCCTCACCCAACTGTGGCCTACAAAGGTCAAAAAGGGGTACAACGAATGCCCACCCTGACCCTTAGGCCCCTCGTCTAGCCTGGGGGTGGCAGGCACATTCCATCCATGAGGCTGGGGCACAAACCACTGGAGCCCTGGGTTCAGCCCCCCAAGCTTAGGTTGGGACAGGAAGAGAATTGTCCTCTGCAGGAAAGAACCCACAGAGAATCAGGAACCCACACAGAATGGGCATTTAGAGAGCGGAAATACCAAGGGGGTCCCACCCCAGACCAGGCATCCGGGCACCCAGACCTCAGGCTCTCCATCCCCACCCTCCTTGGAGAGCCAGGTCCCCCTCACCTGGAAATGAGCCAAGCCACACTGAGGAAATGGAACTTTATTTCCATTAATACAGGGTTAACACCCATTCAATGGCAGCTAAAAGAGGGGCTGGGACCTCAAAGAAACTAGGCTCCCAGGGGGTACCCCAACACTGAACATAGGGACTGGGGGGATCCCCAAACCTGAGATGGGCCTCACAGGCCATAGATAATCCCCAACACTGACATTTCAAGAACAGAACTGTCCCCATAGGGGAGCCTCAGAATCCCACTCTCATGGGTAGTCCCTTCCTGGGAGTTGGGAGGGCTGAGGAAAAGGGAACATGGGGAGAACAGAAGCTAAAAATGACCTGAGTGGCCTGGAAGGAGACCCCCGCAGCGGGCAGGGGTCGGGTTCTCCTCCGGTACAGCCCGAGACCGAGGAGCAGCAGAGTAGCTGCAAGTTCAAAACCTGGTTTCTCTCTTCCCAGCCTCGGCCTTGCGAGGGTGAGAGAGCACGGAGCAAACCCCAGACATGAGGTCATTCACAGAGGAGAAGAGGAAGGGGTCCTGGGAGCCCTGGTTGGTGCGGGCAGTGTGGGAGCAATGGGGTGGTCACAGGCACACGGGAGCCTGGCATCTGCTTTCCAAGGCCACTGCTTGGTCTCTGGGCTGGGGAGTTCCTGGGGGATCCCTGAGGACATCCTCAGGAGAGCCAGGGTTCAATGCAGGCCTCATAAAGGGTACGGTTGGAGTGCCAGGCCGTGTGGGAGATCCCAGCCATCGGACACCTCACTATGGCTCCCCGGGCCAAGAGAGTCTTCAACCCAAAAGAATCCCGCAGATAAACCTTCAAGGTGGGCGAAGGGTCACAGCAGACAGACAGACAGAAAAACAAAATAAGTTCCTGCTGGTGTCCCAGGTCCCCTCCCCACAGGGTGAACCCTTCCACTCTCAAGGGTCGGCGGCAGGGAGGGCTACAGACTGAGGTGGGACAGTGCATGAAGAAAGGGGAAGTAATCCCAGGGGGCTCACCGGTTGCTCCTCCATCTCCAAGACCGTCTCATTTGCGTCATAGAAACCAAAGAAGCTACAAAGAGATTGAGGGTGGGCAGGGGAGGAGGTTATCAGGAGAGGTGGAGAAAATCAAGGTAGGCTAGGGGACTTCAGGAACTCATGGCAGCAAGGAAGACACTCAAAATGGGGACCCTGTACCTCATGAGGTGATAGGCTACAGCATGGCTTCTGCAGAGTCCCATCAAAAATGCATAACCTGAATCTACTCATGAGCCAACAGCCAACAAACCCCAACTGAGGGGCATTCTACAAAACGGCTGGGCCATACACCTCAAAAATTTCGATGCCAGAGACAAAGACTGAGGAAGTATTCCAGAAAAAAAAACAAAGACTAAAGAGACAGGACAAGTAAATGGGACTCACGATCCCAGGTTGGATCTTGCAATGGATTTTTTTTCCCTATGGCAACAACTGGAAAATATCTGAATCAGGTCTACAGAGTAGCCTATCCATGTTAAATTCCTGACTTTCATCACTGTACCGTGGCTATGTAAGAAATGTCCTATACACAGGAAACAGTCACTGACATACTGAAGTTTCAGGGATAAAGAGACCTCATGTCTACAACCTACTCTTAAATGGTTCACAAACACACCTAGGCCCTGTGTGTATGTTTAGAGAATGGATGAAGGCATAAACATGGTAAAATGTTAACATTTAGAAAATCTAGGTGAAGAATACGTAAGATTGTTTTTGTAATACTTTGGCAACTTATCAATATGAAATTATTCCAAAGTAAAAAGGTCTTAAATTTTTCAAAATTACTATTTAATGACATGGGCCGTGAGTGGGCACTGGCCATGAAGAACAAACATTACCGGGTAAGGGTATAGGAGAGCAGCACGGGCACACAGACCTGGATCTGAACTCCAGCTCTGCTGCACACTCCCACCCGTGTGTGGCCGAGCATATTACTTACTCTCTTTGTCCTATCTAAGAATACTTCCTTTGCAGAGAGGAAGTGAAGCCCCGTGGTTAAGTTAGATAGCCTGACTTCACCAGTCACTGGCTCTATGAGGACTAAACAAGGTTTATTTGAAAAGTACTTCGAATAGTGCCTTGGCATCTAAAAGGTGCTATATTACTATCTTCAGAGGGTTGTGGAGGTAAAATGAGATAGAATAAATCCCATCTATGGGCGTCCCATGACTCCTTCATTGAAAACCCTCCAAAGCCTTCCCATCTCACTCAAAATAAAAAGTCAAGGGCCATGGCTGCCAAGAGCTGGGGGGGGGAAGCAGGGATGGGGAGTTAATGTTGTTTTTTTTTAAGATTTTATTTATTTGTCAGAGAGAGAGAACAAGCACAAGTAGGGGGAGTGGCAGGGAAAGGGAGAAGCAGACTTCCCGCTGAGCAGGGAGCCCGATGTGGGACTCGATCCCAGGATCCTGGGATCATGACCCGAGCCAAAGGCAGACACTTAACCGACTGAGCCACCCAGGCATCCCAAGTTAATGTTTAATGGCTATGGAGTTTCAGTTTGGGAAGAAAAAAAAGTTCTAGAGATGGATGGTGGTGATGGTTATGCAAGAATGTCAATGTGCTGAATGCCACTGAAGTGTACACTTAAAATGGTAAATTTTATGTTATGTATATTTTAGGGGAAAAAAAATCAAGGGCCTGACTGCCCTACAAAGGCTACACGTCACTGGCTCCCCGCTATCCCTTTCATCTCGTCTCCCACCCTCTCCCCAGCTCCCTGTGCTCTAGCCACACCGGCCTCCTTATTCCTCACACCTGCCCCAGAACCTTTGTAGATGCTATTCCTTTCTCTGAGTCGTTTTCCCCCCAGATTGTTGCACAGCTCCTTCCTTCACTTCCTTAAGTTTCTACTCAAATGACAACTCTTCCAGGATTTGTCTGGCCACTGTCTGACATAGGCTCCAGTCATCTTCCAATCCCTTCCCCCGACTCCTCTTACCACCACCTGACATGTATGTTTACATTTACGATCTGTCTCCTACACTACTAGATCCTAAGCTACATAATAGCAGGGACTTCTCTTTCACTTACCGCTGCATCCCAATGGCCCAGAACAGTGCCTGGGCATACATACAGTGCTCAATAAATACTTGTTGAGGGGGGCGCCTGGGTGGCTCAGTCGTTAAGCGTCTGCCTTCGGCTCAGGTCATGATCCCAGGGTCCTGGGATGGAGCCCCGCATCGGGCTCCCTGCTCAGCGGGAAGCCTGTTTCTCCCTCTCCCGCTCCCCCTGCTTGTGTTCCCTCTCTCCTGTCCCTCTCTCTCTATTAAATAAATAAAATCTTTAAAAAAAAAAAAAAACCTTGTTGAGGACTAAAGTAGCTTAGGTGACATTTCAGATCACTCATGATGATCTGCAACAGAGGCCGACACATAGCACAATGGAGCCATGGATTTTCCTGAGGAACAGGATGGAGGGGACGGGGCTGGAGGCTATTACGGAAGCCCAGGTATGTGAAAGAGTTGGTAAGAAACATAAAATGGCATGGAACCATACACACACATCCTACAATGAGAATTTCCTGGTTTTGATATTGTGCTGTAGTTACATAGGATGCAATCATGGGGGGAACCGGGTGAAGGATACATACCCAGGACCTCTCTAAACTATCTTTGCGGGCACCTGGGTGGCTCAGTCATTAAGCGTCTGCCTTCAGCTCAGGTCATGGTCCCAGGATCCTGGGATGGAGCCCCGCATTGGGCTCCCTGCTCCGCAAGAAGCCTGCTTCTCCTCCTCCCACTCCCCCTGCTTGTGCTCCCTCTCTCACTGGCTCTCTCTCTCTGTCAAATAAATAAATGAACTCTTTTAAAAAAATTTAAAAAATAAACTATCTTTGCAACTTCCTGTGAATCTGTAATTATCTGAAAGTTAAAAGCTTTAACAAAGCAGGGGTTTAGGGATGGAGAGGAAGCAGAGTCTGCAGGACTTAGTGACTGGGGGGATACAAGGAGTTGAGGGATGACTCCCACGTTTTGGTCTTGAGTGACAGGATCCGTGGAGGGTGGGGCATGAACTGGACAGTGGGAGGTACGGGCCAGTTTCAGGCCTGAGATGAAAACTGTTGGGGGTTGGAGGATGTCCTTAGCCCATCTTCAGGCCACACAATCCCTTATTACCTAGACTGCCAGGGGGTAATAACACCATCATCAGGGCCCCCAATCAGCACCAGACGGCCCACACGAAGAAAGTTCTTCCTCCATGCTGAAGAATGGGAAGAAAAGAGCTTGAGTCAGTCACAGGGGTCGGGCCAGGCTGGAGAGGGAAACACAGGGGGTCAGAGAGGCAGAAAACGGGACCCAGGTAGGAGCCTAGGGTCTCACCAGTGGCGTTGGGATGATCTCTTTCGCCATTGATCAGGGCCAGGAAGCTGCTGGCATTCAGGTACAAGTCATCATGGTGGGGGTCTAGGTACAAACAGCAGTTAGAAAGAGAGTCAGAGGGGCGCCTGGGTGGTTCAGTCGTTAAGCGTCTGCCTTCGGCTCAGGTCATGATCCCAGGATCCTGGGATCGAGCCCCGCATTGGGCTCCCTGCTCAGTGGGAAGCCTGCTTCTCCCTCTCCCGCTCCCCCTGCTTGTGTTCCCTCTCTCGCTGTGTCTCTCTGTCAAATAAATAAATAAAATCTTAAAAAAAGAAAAAAGAAAAAGAAAAGAAAGAGAGTCAGAGAAGCAGGGCAAAGAGGCAAGACCAGAGGCTGGAAGGCCAATCAGGGGACTACAATAATAGACAAGGTGAATACTAATATAACAGTAACAACAATAATAATTGTAAACATGACAGCAAACACCTTTACCCAGAACCTATGATGCCACGTACTGTTCAAAGTACATCACGTTCGTTAATTTATTTAATCTTCGCAACCCCCTATAGGGTAGATACTATATTATTATTTTACAGGTAAGGAAAACAGTCACAACCAAATATTTACTATCTGACCCTTCAAAGAAAAAGTCTGCTGACCCCTGCCCCAGACTACACTCTGAAGCAATAAGGTAATACACATAAAGTGTTCTGAACAGTGCCTATTCACATAGTACATGCTCAATACATATACGTTATCTTCAGCATCACCGCTGTTGGTTATGGTACAGGGAAGCAGCAGGCCCTACCCCCAGGGTGCCCCCTCCATGCAGACCCCAGTTTGGCATCCCCTATTCACCGTGCCAGTAGTTGCAGATGGAGAATTCCTGGCCCCAAGGGCTATAGCAGATCCGGTAGAGGTTAGACCTCATGGAGGTAGGGAAGAGCCACTTCAAATAGTCCGTATCTGGCAAGAGAACAGCAGTGTCCAGTGGCCCCAAACCTGTGTGTCCCCAAACCTCAGGGCCCCCTATGGAGCCCACCATCCCCACTCACCTCCATACTGTCCCATTTGTGGAGAGGAGAGAGAGATGAAAGAATCCACATTGTGCTCATCCATGACGGAGAGCAGTGCCCGGCACACCAGGCCCCCTGGAAAGAGAATGCCACATTAGGCTGAGACTTAGCGACAGCCAGGCCAACAGCCTACCCACTCGGCGCCCCCACCACCACAAGTCCATAAGGAGATTGAGGCCCAGAGAAAGCAGGCACACCCTGTGGCAAAAGGTTACACGTCGTGTAAGTGACAGAGCCGGAATCAGATTCTGGGTCTTCTGACTCTAACTGTAGGGTGCTTTTTTACTGCCCCACTATCCCTTATGTCCAAGAACCATGGGTAATGGCAAAAGGGAGCAGCAGGGCGGGGAGCCTCCCTCCCACTGGGGACACAGAGATAAGACCCAGGTGCTGAGGGAAGTCAGAAAAATAGGTCTCAGGTACTAGTGCTCTGGCTGGAACATTGGGGTGCAGAAAAGGGGACACTAGGAAGTGTCCCTCAGGTAAGGATCAAGCCTCAGATAGGGCTTAGAAGTCGGGAAGGGGAGGGCGCCTACCCTGCGAGTAGCAGATGAGATGCACCCCTTCGGGGGCCTTTGCCATGATGGGGGCCACAGCCTCTCCGAACCCTTGCACCTGTTCCCACAAGGGTCGCAAGCTCTCTCTCCCATCGAAGAGATCGAGCACTGTCACCACAGTCCCAGGGTGTGTCTGTGGGAAGGGGGCAATGCTGCAACAGGGGATGGACTATGAATTCCCTCCACACCGCCCCCTGGCCAGCGTCCACATGCCTATTGCGCCCTGCTAAAACCCGGGATCTCATCCCTCGAGTCTCCCAACGCCGGCCCCAGCTCCTCGAGGAACTGAGCAGGCCCAGAAGGGCAGCTTTCAGTTCCCCATTCCCCTTCCCCCGTCACTACAGACGCCTCCAACGCCCCACAACCGGGTGTCCCCTGCCAGACCTCGTTGATGTATTCCAGCAGGTGGCGGAAGCTGTATGAGCTGTCAAAGAGCCCGTGCACCACGATGACCGGTTTGTAGGAAGCGCGATGGGGCGCGGGGGCCGCGGGCAGCAGCCGCGGCTGCAGGAACGGCAACAGGAGCAGGATCCCCGCCGGGGGGAGCCGCAGCCCCCTGAGGCCCAGCATGCTCCCGCCTGAGAAGGGGGCGATGAGGGCCTGTGAGACAGATGGCAACACGCTCTCCCCTCGGAGCAGACGCCGGCATTCGAGACCTCCCGCCCGTGCTCACACTAGGTCCAGGTCACAAAATAGCCCGCTTTGAACTTACTTCAGGGCTGTAGGGAAACACACCCCCCTACACGTCGACGCACCGACACGCACCCGAAACCCCGCCCCCAACTCAGCGGGGACTCCGTCCCTAGGCCCAGGATCTTCCTAATGCACCATCCCAGCCATGCACGACCCTGGGTTTTGCAAGAAAAGACCCCTGAGCAGCAGCGCAGCCTCCTGGAGAATGCAAGCTCCCACCTGGCCTAGGTCAGTGAGCCTGGCTCCGCCTGCTGCTTACTTCTCCCTAGACTGGAACCCGCGGGGGGAGGGGAAGGGTGTAAGGAGAGCGCGCGCAGGGGAATGACGGATGGGAGAGGGGAGGCTGCTAGGGGTCGCGCTTCGCCGTCACGTCCGGGGCTTTCCCTGGCAACCGTGCCCGCGTCCCCTGTAACGCAGGCCCGGACCGGAGGGGCAATGGAACATTCCACTGCCTTCCGGGAGCGGGGGAGGAAACAGGCAGAGCGATCCATTTAGGCCTGTGGGGAGAGGAAGAAGCGGCAAACATATCCTGGGAATCGAGAAAAGGCCAGTCCAGACCCTGCTGCACCAGCGACCCGAGGGTCCGATTTCCTGGCCTTGATTTGCCCCACTTCCCAATTCAGGCGTCCCGCTCCGCTGAGAAACATGAAGTTCTCTTTCCCCCAGGGTGGGGGGTGGGGGGGAAGGGCGCTGGGGAATAGACCGGGGAAAGGCAACCCTCCGCATTTCGTCCTCCAACGGATCGGGGCTGAAGCCAGCGCAGGCGGACCCCACCCCACCCCTACCCGCCCGCCGGCCGGCCCCAGGTCAGCGTCTTACAACTCTTCATTATGAAGTGCGTGTAGTGCCCTTGTCTCCAGGGACGCGAAGAGTCCTCGAGGCCCCTCGAGCTAAGAGTGCAGCCTGGCCCAGTTTCTCCTGGCCTACTCTACTCGGCTCCTGGTATACGACCCACCTTCAAGGGGCGGAAGGCCCCCGGGGCAGCGCTGACTCACGTTCGCGTAGTTTCCACCCGTCTTTCAACTTGAGGGACCCCCACAATCTGCCCTTAGCTGGGAGCTCCTGTGGGCGGCTTCCGACGCAGACCCTCGCACCGCATCCAGACTCCCGAGCTCCAGGCGCCCCGCACCTCCGCCTGTGACCCCTTCCCGATACCTGGGTAGGCTTTCACTTAGCATTTAAAGGCCCTTCCCTTGAGGAAAAAGGATTTCGAAGCTTGTCTGAATCCCTCTATTCACAAGGTCTTCGCAGGTCTAAAGTCTCAATAAAACCAATTTGTGCCCCGGGGTGTGTGATGTGAGGGTGGGGTGGCGGTAGGGGGTCAGGAGCGAACCCGAACGACTTGGAAACCAGAACGACCAGTTTGGGGCCGTGACCTAAATGTCTGGAGCCTGGGACTGGTCCAGGCGAGGGCCTCAGCTCTGTAGGCTCCGCGTGGACCCAGAGGGGAAGGACACAGCCGGGGAGGGCGACTGCCTCAGGCGGGGGATGGGGAGTACTAATCTGAAGGTGGAGGCCGGGGAGGGTTAATGATTCCCCGACTGTGTTTTTGCAAAAAGCCCAACTCCTGTAAGTCTCAGTAGTACTTTCACCTTCCCTCCCTATATAAGCGCTCCCAAGATACAACGAACAAATAAAAGACCGGAATTACAGCTGTGCTCGGACCTCCCCCTCCACCACCACCACACACACTCCTGTCGATCCAGGAGGTGGCGTCGGGTCTTGGCAGGGGTGGTGGGTGGGTCGCTGGGATTTTAAAAAATAGATCTGAACACTGACGCGCCCAGGAACTCTAAGAAGCCCAATTATCAAAGGGGGAAAGGGAGACCAAGCACATATTCCCAAAACGGAGTTGCCAGAAAGGAGCTGATCCATCCCCTCCTTCTCCCAAAGTGCTCAGCTCCTTCAGCCTGGAGGAAAAGGTATCTCTGTATCCCCCAAGCTTCCGCTCTGTCCTCCCACCCCCACTCCCCCAGCCACAGGCCCAACTCCCGCTGAACCACTATAGACCCAAGCCTCCCACTTTACCTGCAGTTCACCCGAGGCCATAACCCTGGGAACTCTTCAAGCCATCTCAGGTCTCAGCTCTGCAGTTCTCCCTCATACACAGTTATCTTTCCTAAGTGGGGGAAAGTAGAGCTAAGGATTTGGAAGAAGATCCTGAGAACTTAAAGGGACTCTGAGGGAAGCTGAGGAGGGGGGCCCCTGACTAGGGTGAACCAGATCCAGTGGGGACTGGGGTACTGAATCCACTGAGCACCAGCTCACTTCCTCCCATGATATAATCACTACAGCCAGTCTTAGAGGGGAAGACTCTAGAGAGTTCTCCCTCCCTCCTTCCCTCCCTTGGTCCCACCCGCCTTGCCTGGTCTTGCTTGCCTCCCTGTTTCCATGACAACTCCAAGGGAGCCCAAACTGGGGGCTTGAATGCCGGGGTGAGAGGAGGAGAGACAGAGTGAGGGGACCTCGGAAACTCTCCCCCTCCCTCTCCTCGGTCCCTTTAAGCTCCCCCCCCCTCCGCTCTCCCTCCGCCCCCCGCCGCTGTCTTCATCTCTCCATCTCTGTGCTGCTGCCGGCTGCGCAATCTGCACACCGAGACTCCGACGCCAGCCAGGGACCCCGACTCCCGCTGCAGTGACCCTGTCCCAGCCAGACCACAGGCATGTCATCGGAAAAGTCAGGTAAAAAACAACAAAACCTGCCCTTTCCACCATCTCCGGACTCTTCCCCCCATCCTTGGCCCCAACCCCCTCCCTCCCTTACCCCTCCGGGGCCGGGGGGGGGGGGCGGGGGGGAATGATTCTGTTTCATTCCCCTTCTGTCCAGCTCTCAACCCCCATCCCCCTTCTCTTTCTATATCCCTCCCTTCTCTTCCTTTCCTCCTTCCAATCTCAGCCTCGTCCCCTTGCCAACAACACGGAAAGGGGACAGGTTGAAAGGGTGAGGGAAGTACAGAGTGGCCTAGCATCAGCCAGGTACTGCAAGAATAGCATCATTGGGAGTGACAGATGGACAGATGACACTGGCTTGCATGGAGACATCCAGTGGAGATATATAAAGATATGATCAGATGGGGGTTGTCAGGGGAGTAAAATCCAGAAGACCCTTCTTTATCTGCCCCAAAAGAGGAACTGGGATTCCCAGAGAGGCTAAGGCACCCCCCCCCAGGACAAGAAGGCAGAGTGGAATATGTCATCCTACATGTGTTTATACAACTGTTGAATTGAGCACATGTTAACACAGTGTTGCATGTCTACACGTGCACACACAGGACTAGCTCAGATGGGCAAGCCCAAGGCAGCCGTAGCTTGGGTGGAAGGTGAAAGCTATGTATGGGCACATTGCTGTAGATGGAGAAGAGTGGAGGAGAGTTGCGACTTCAAAACTAGATTGAAAAAAAGAAGGAGATGGGGCGCCTGGGTGGCTCAGTCGTTAAGCGTCTGCCTTCGGCTCGGGTCATGATCCCAGAGTCCTGGGATCGAGCCCCGCATCGGGCTCCCTGCTCAGCGGGAGGCCTGCTTCTCCCTCTCCCACTCCCCCTGCTTGTGTTCCCTCTCTCGCTGTCTCTCTCTCTATCAAATAAATAAATAAATAAAATCTTTTAAAAAAGGAAAAAAAGAAAAAAAGAAGGAGGGGTACAGATGGCCTAGATACAACCCCTTTCCTGCCCCAAGACCAAGAGATGGCTTCTCACCCATCTCCTCTGTCTCTCCCATTATCCTTCTCCATCCCTCGCCCTCTGTGTTTCTCCCTTACCCCCTTCCTTATCTCTTCTCTACCTGGCTTGTCTCTGTCCCCATACCCTCTCCTCCGCTCACCACCCCCAGGCCTCTCAGACTCAGTCCCCCACACCTCTCCACCACCCTATAATGCCCCGCAGCCCCCGGCCGAACCCCCCGCCCCTCCCCCACAGGCAGCCCCTTCCTCTCACCATCACCACCACCACCACTACCACCAGTCCGGGACCGCCACCCTCCCGCGCTTAGGGGCAGGCGGCCTGGCTTCTTCCGCGGCCACTGCTCAGCGCGGTCCCTCATCTTCCGCCACTCTGCCGCGGCCACCACACCACGCCCCGCCCGGCCCGGCCGCCGGGGCGCCCCCACCCGGCTGCGCTACCTTGCCCCGCATGCCACCCGACCCTTACCTGCAGGAGACTCGCTTCGAGGGCCCGCTGCCCCCGCCGCCGCCAGCCGCCGCCGCGCCGCCCCCGCCGGCGCCCTCTCATACTGCCCAGGCTCCGGGCTTCGTGGTGCCCACGCACACGGGGGCGGTAGGCACGCTGCCACTGGGGGGCTACGTAGCCCCTGGCTACCCCTTACAGCTGCAGCCTTGCACTGCCTACGTGCCGGTCTACCCGGTAGGCACGGTGAGTACAGGGTGGACAGGGGCCTGGGAGGAAGGGCTGGGGACACACTGGGGGCTGGTGGGATAGAGAAACAGGGCCACGGGACCGGGCAGGTTCCTAGGACAAGGCCTAGGGAGAGGAGGGACTGAGGAAAGGCTTGGGAATGTGTGTGTGTTGGGGGGGGAGGAGGATCTGGCAGTCAGTTGGGGTCAGGGATCAGGGTCTGAGAAGGGGAGCGGAGCACAGAAGTCCAGAGGACGTTTGAAAGAAGGAAGAGAGAGGGGGAGAAGAAATGAAATCTGGCGACCAAGGAGGAGAAGGGAGAAGAAACCTGGAACTGACTGAATAGGGAAGGCCAGGCAGATACTTGGGGAGAAGAAACAAGGCCTGAAGTGAGCTAGGGCAGCCCTGGTGCGGCCATACCTTCCGGGGAGGGAGTGTGGAGACCAATAAGAATACAGGGTAATGACAGCAATGAAGACAAGAGAGGGATCTAGGCGGAATTCATGGGTGTCCTGGAAGGGTAGTGGATAAGTTCCTTTGAGAAGCAAAGTGCAAGAATGGTGCTTTAAAAACCACTCTGCCAGATGCAGAATGTTTTCGGGCTCAGAGAGGATGGGAATGACGTCCTGTCCTCTCCCTGCACAGCCCTATACAGGCGGGACCCCGGGGGGAACAGGAGTAACCTCCACGCTCCCCCCGCCGCCCCAGGGCCCAGGGTTGGCCCTGCTGGAGCCGAGGCGCCCGCCGCACGACTACATGCCCATCGCAGTGCTGACCACCATCTGCTGCTTCTGGCCGACGGGCATCATCGCCATCTTCAAGGCCGTGCAGGTGCAAGGGGATTAGAGGGCGGCGTCTGGGAAGGGCGGCCTCACTCGGTTTTTCCTGTTCTAAGGGAGTGCTGGATGTTCGGGGGAGCATCTCAGAGGGCGCAGCAGCTCTGATCCTCTTGCTTCCGCCCTTCCGCCGCAGGTGCGCACGGCCTTGGCCCGCGGAGACATGGTGTCTGCCGAGATCGCTTCACGCGAGGCCCGGAACTTCTCCTTCATCTCCCTGGCGGTGGGTATCGCAGCCATGGTGCTCTGTACTATCCTCACCGTAGTCATCATCATTGCCGCGCAGCACCACGAGAACTACTGGGATCCGTAACGACTCGCCCGGCCCGGCCCCACCCCGCGCCCCTCAACCTCCCAAGCGCGTTCTGCAGCCACGCCGCGGATCCAGTGGGTGCCCCGCACACCTGCCTCTGGGGCCACCAAATTTCGATACATCCTAAACTCGGCCTCCACGGAACTTCTCGCCTTGCGGGCACGCTCCGAATCCAGTTCCTCAGGAACCCCGAAAAAACCCCCACCCCCAGAAATACCACTTCCCAGGATCCCCGCCAAATGCCCGACCCTCAGTCACTCCAGTCCCCCGCCGCCTCTAAATGCAGCGCCCCCAGCCGAGCTCCTTTGGTCTCCGTTCCCCAGCCGGAGACTGGTCCCCAAAGCCCCGCCTCCTCTGTAGGCTCCGCCCCGGCTCCAACAAAACCCCGCCTCCAGGTCGGCAGGCTCCGCCTTCTTTTCGTCCCCGCGGGGTGATTCAGTCCAGTGATTGGGTTGTGGCCGTAGGCCTCTCCCCACACTGACAGACTCCTCCCCTTCTCCTGGCGCAGGGACCTAGCCCCGGGTAGCCACGCCCCCACGCTCTCTCATCTTTTCGTAGTACAGTTTTGTCTCCACCCCGGTCTCTTACTATTTTCTTGCTAATCCCAGAACCTCTACTTTTGGTATTTTTGGAATGAGATTTGGGAGGTTCCCAGTTTAGGACCTTTCACCCTGGGATGACGAAAGCCCCCTTTCTCTGTAAATATTCCCTTCCACCTGTCCCAACCAGTGGGCAGCTGGGCAGAAGGTAACCCAGCGTACGGACCTCCCAGCGTCGGAGGAGCCAGCCCGCTCCCCGCTCCCCTCGGCAGTCCCCACCTTGTTCTGATTTGTGTGTGAGTGTGTGTGTGAATTTCTGAAAGAATATTAAAGAGACTAAGTGGATTTATCACCCGCAATTCCAAAGACTGCAGCCTTGCAAAGACCCTCCTCTTTTGTTTGCCCCTTTTACCTCCCCTTAGCTTCCCTTCCAAGGGAAAGAAAGATAAAGAAAACTGACAGAGACAAAAATGGGAGGAATAGATCTCCAAGACACCAGAAAGACAAACACAACTCTGGGGGCTGGGGGCAGGGGCAGGGGTCTCCTTAGGAATTCCACCAGGGAGATCTGGTATGAGGTCCATTCATGATGGGGATTTCTTTCCCTAGTACACATTTTCCACTTCCTACTAGACTGGGCTTAGGGCTTTGAAGAGAGAGCATTTACAGGTAGACCCAAGTATCTAGCCCCAGAACTCCAGGAAATCAGGAGAAAAGGACAGACTGTTCTGAAGAAGTTGGTCAGGGACAGGGTGACGGGGAAAAGATGCCAACTGCCTGCAGCTGTTCCTGCCTTTGAGCCAGAGGGTGGCAAACAACTTCGATTAGAGCCCTACATGGTTTGTTGTACCTGTATAGGCAAAGGGAGCAGAGTGCTATGGGAGGCCATCTCAATCCATTCAGGTTGCTATAACAAAAATACTATTGACTGGGTGGCTTATAAGCAACAGAAATCTATTTCTCACAGTTCTGTAGGCTGGAAGTCTGAGAGCATAGCATAGTCGGGTGAGGGCCCTCTTCTGAGTTACAGACTTATCATTGTATCCTTACTTGTTAAGGGGCAAGGGAGCTCTATAGGGTCTCTTATAAGAGCACTAATCCCATTCATGAGAGCTCCACCCTCTTGACCTAAGCACCTCCCAAAGACCCCACCTCCTAAAACCATCAAATTATGCATTATGATTTCAACATATGAGTTTTGGAGGGACCACAAACATTCAGAACACAACAGAGCCCCAGGGAGGAGGTCACTAGGCTCTCAAAGTCCAGCTGGAGCTAGTTGCCCTCTCCTAGCCTGAGGTCAACCAGGAGGCCTCTGGTGGGGGTGGGGGCAGCGCATAAGCAGTGGACTCGGTATCTTCAGCTGTACACCTGCGGGCCAGGGTTCTATGCTGAATTTGTGCATTCATACAACATGCGTCTGTGGGATGCTGGTGTGACATCTGCCGAAACAATGGACGTGAACACTGACCTCACGGGGTTTAGGATCTAGAAGGAAAGCCATGCACTGAGACAGGACACATGGGAGGAGGATGGGATGGAGTATGGAAATTGTGGGCTCTCCTTTGGAAGTTTCAGATTTTATGTGCTTCGCTCACCAAACAGATTGAAAAAAGAATTCACATTTGCAGCTTCCGCTTCCTCACCACCTACTCACTAGCCGCCCCCCCTTAAATAAGTATTGTCAGGGATGTGTCTGTGTCTCTTTCTTTCATACCCACTATTTCTTAACCCTTTTTTTTTTAATTTTTAACCCTTTAAAATATGCTTCCACTCCCCACTCTACTGAAACTGCTCCCTCAAATCATACCCAATGACCAGAAGTTACCAGGAACCAAAATCAATGGTATTTGCAGAGTATGTGCACACTGCCTCTGTGAACCTTCCTAGGTCTGTCCCTTGACCCTAGACTCTCTACTCCCCTGGTTCAGGGACATGTAATCTTTCCCCCCCTCTACTTCCGCACATACTTCTAATCATTCCCCTCCTCCTCTCCTCTCTTTTTTTCTCCTCCCTTCTCCTAAGTATCCATATCTAGATTTTTTCCTTTTCTGAGACGTTCCCTTAAAAATCTCATCTACTCCAAACTCAGATACCATTTCTAACTAAATGTTTCTATGCCATAGACCGAGCGTTTGTGTTCTCCCCCAAATTCATATGTTGAAATCTAATCCTACTGTGATGTGGGGCCTTTGGGAGGTGATTAGGTCATGAGGACAGACCCTCATGAATGGGATTAGTGTCCTTCTAAATGAGACCCCAGGGAGCTCCGTTGCCCTTTTCACCACATGAGGACACAGTGAGAATTCAACCTTCTATGTCCCAGAGGGGGCTCTCACCTTATACCAAGTCTGCCAGCACCTGGATCTTGGACTTTCCAGTCCCCAGAACTGTGAGATGTTTCTGTTGTTTATAAGCCACACAGTTTATGGTATTTTGTTATAGCAGTCTGAGTTGACTGAGACATTCTCCAAGCTATATATATGTAGGCATTCTTCCAGTGCCAGTGGAGTATGGCCACATGGACCACACTGCTGATCCTCTAAATTCATCATATTCCAAACCAAAATTATGAAATGCCATGGAAAACCTGCTTCCCTGTTTCTGTTAATGGCACCATTTCCCCATCACCCTTGTCTGAAAACCTGAGGCTTTCTCCATCTCCCTCCTGCCTTTCCTTTTGGTGTGCTGTCAAGCCAAATCAATTCTATCATCATAATATCTTTTGAATCCGTAACTTTTCCCCAGCCCTTGCCTGAAAAATGACCTCATCTAGGATTGCTGCAACAGTTCCTCTGAAAGGTCACCCTACTTCTTGCCTCTTGCAGCTCCCGATTTCCCTCAACACTGCTGTCCCTAAACACATTTCTTTTATAACTCCACTGCTCAAAAGCCCTTCAAGATTCCCTATTGCTTACTCAATTATTTATAAAATTGTAATCTGGCCTTCAACCCCTTCCATAATTTAAAAACATCCAGCTTTCTCTCTTCAACCTAATCTCCAACCAAACTGAATTACTCATCATTCCCACCCCCAGGTCCTTGCCCAGCTGTTCTCAAATCTTAGACCTCATTCTCTAAACTCTATCTCTTACAAACCAAATTGTTTGCTGCTTGTCGGGTGTTTCAGACCACATCGGAACTTGTGCTCATGATGTTCTCCTCCTTCACATCTGCATCTCCACTTGGCCAAAATTTACCTATCCTTCAGGGCTCAGATCAATTCACCCCCTGACTCAAGCCAGAAGGAATTCCTCTCCTATGGTTTGGACTAAAGCAGTGGTTTCTATAAACAGAGCTCCAGACATTCCTTGGAGCACTGATTCTCACCCCTGGCTATACATTAGAGTCATCTGGGAGCATTTAAAAATCCCAAAGCCCAGGTCACATCCTGAACCAATTAAATCACAATCTCTGGAGGTGGGACTCAGGCATCAGTATTTCTTTGGACATCCCCAGTTAATTCCAAAGGGCAGCTAAGGTTGGGAATTACAGGCTTAGAAGCAGTTTAGGGACCACAAAGGGAGAAGGGGGAAACCCAAAAGGTGTGGCTTCAACTAGAGCAACGTTCTTTAACAGAAAGGTATGCAGGTCTAACGCCTATACATTGTTCACTTTATCTGCATTTTCCCATCTCTTCTCACCTGAGATCTTGATGCACACGTCTTATTTTGAGAGCTGCTTGAAGGCAGGAGCCAAATTTGGCTTTTCTCTGGCTTTTAGATCCTCATCAGGTAAAACCTCTTGTACCAATCTTTGAACTCAATTGAATGGAAGAGAATTAGGCAGAGGAAGAAGTGAATCACAATGACTTCTTCCAGATCACTTCACCCAGACTCCTGGAGTCTGGAGGCATATTCATTTGATTCTGGAGTGAAGTGAAGGCATATTCCAATTTGATTCTCCACCCACTTTATCTCAATTCCCTCCCGGCATGGTGCCCTTGGCTCTTGCACCACCATGGACAGAGATTCCATCCTCTGGGAAAGGCTCTGGCCCCTTCTAACATCTACATGGGAGATTTCATTCTCCCATGATTTGACTCTGGGTCATCATTCCCCCTAATTCATTGAAAATTTAGTACCTAGGTTACTGTCTTCCTCTCTACCACCACCTCTGTCATTTCATTATTTTGGGTGGCTTTGATATCCCTGTAGATAACCATCCAGCATACTGGTCAGGTCCTGGCCTACCTCACTTCCCCTGAGGTTTTTCCCCACTCCTTAGCCACTCTTCTCCCACTGTCATACCTTCAACTTGGTTACCATCAATAACAGCTGCCTCTTCCAAATCTGTTCAGTCTTTGCATGTCACCCCCTCCTCCATTCAGCATCCCATTCCAAAATTCTTCAATCCCATGAAAGATCTTCCATCCATCAACTTTCTCACACTTCATTATATTTGATCCCCTCAATTTTTCATTCCCCTCATTACTCAGTGTATATCCTAAGGTTCAACACTATCATCACCTCTCAGCCCTTGCCCTTTTATTCT